CTCTTAAGTCTGCCCTGATTCTTGATGTTTTCTTTCAAGTCTTCATTTTTAATTCTGTCTGACAGTTGCTGACGAAGTTCCTCATTCTCCTCATTCCTCCGATCATCCTCTGTTGGGATAAAGAGACCGTTAGCTCCTGGAAGGTGCTTGTAAGTGCCAAAGGCATCTATCTGACTGCAGGAGGAAAGGACTGATGGCCCTTTGGCCTCAGCCAGCTTGGCTGATGTCAACCACCCTCCTCCTTTCCCCAGAATATCTTGTCTTTACCTCACCACCTCAAGAGCCACAGCTGAGCTCTTGCCCAGAAGGCGTTTCTGAGACTCCAGATTTCAGGGCCCAAGAAGGCCTCCCTCCCTCCTTACCCAGCAGGCTGTATGATTGTCCCAAACCAGAAGTGGATCAGAAAAACCCCATGGCCATTCCTTGCCTGTTCCCTTGACATAACCGTGGAGGATACTCACTCTCAGCCAACTCATTTGGGAAGGAATGCCACAGCTGAGCTCTTGCCCAGAAGGACCTTCTGGCCCTCCCTCCTTCCCCAGTGGGCTGTATGACTGTATGAAATGTTCCTCAGAAGTGAATCAGAAATCCCCCATGGCACTTCCTTGCCCTTTCTCTTGACATAATCATGAAGGATACTCACTCTTAGCCGGCTCATATGGGGAGGAAATATGGTCTTGGGATACTCTTGAGGAAATCTTCACCCTTTCTTTAGATGCAAGGCCGTTGTCTATCTCCACCGTCGTCTCAGTGATACTCCTGCCTTCGTTCGCAGAGAGAAAGAGAAAGTGATAATTCTTATATGGCGAAGGAAAGAAATTCAAGAGTAAACATTCTTCTGGAAGGACGGAACCATGGTCAAGATCAAAACCCACAATCCCATCCAGTATAAGGGGAATGGATCTGTGAGGCAAAGCACCCTGGCTCCCCAAAGGGTTAACATGATTATTAAGTGGCCTTGTCAGACATGTAAGTGTTCATGATTTGAGTCTCTGTGCAGCTAACACCCTTCTCGTTTTCAAGGACAGACTCCAGAATGTGTTAACTGGTAAATTGTGAGAACCTGTACCTAGTCGTGTAACAAGGAGGGAGGGGGGATTAGGAGGGTGCTGACAGCCTCTGGAATATTCCATCAAGGAGGACCCTTGACTGAGTCGTTATAACCACCGGACCCTAGAGAGGCAGAAAATGTAATACGGGTATAGACCAGAGGGAAGCCACACTACCTTTATGCTCATGCTATGCCGGTACACCTTGATATTTGCAGATTTTCACATCATTATGAAGACGTGTTACAGGTCAATAGGAAGCAGGGTCGGCAGGATCTTTCTTGTCTTTCGGAACGACTACTATCTAGGATTCTGACCAGGAAAGAGGTAAGTTCCCTGATTGATGGATATTCTTACAGACACTTAGAAGAGGTTCCGCCAATATATAGTTTTCCTTGCTTTTCTGTTGCTGCTGTCTAGTTGTCAGACTCCTGGACAAAGTTACTCTCAACCACAATCTCTGGCAGTGATTTGTTTATTGAGAAATAATCATGTGCCAGGCCAGACCTGTACTGTGTCAGAACTGGGGTTCTGGCAGAAAGTCCAAAGGTATAGACGGTTCAAACGAGGCCCCCTCACCCCAAGTACATCCAATCACACTCTGCAAATGTCCCGCTTAGCTTTTCGCGCTTCCTACATCTCCACCTGTGACTATGAAGTCCGTATCGAAACCAGTGAAGCAGGCAGAGCTTTGGCGTCAAAGGTCATCCCTGGTGAAGGGAGGCATCTTGAGTAGAGTTATGTTGCCTACGATAGAGCACTTCACACACTCAGCCTCACACACTCCCCTCAGGGATTTCCCTCCCCTTACAAATCACGGCAAACTAGAGACAGAGTTTGACATTAGTGATGTCTCATTTTTAAATCCCAGCAGTGCCTCTACAGGATCACAGGCAGAGCTTTTTCAAATCACCTGCTACCTAAGCCTTTTCACTGGAGACGCTGCCAGGGTTTGAACCTGGGACCTTCTGCATGCCAAGCAGATGCTTTGCCAGAGAGCCACAGCCCCTGCCCAAGTACTGGGACAGGCCTCAAAACGCTGCATTGCTATTTAATATTTTGATTCGGGCCTCCTCACAATGGCAGCAATTTGCACCTTTGACACCTATGAAAGATCCTTACCCAGAGAGGCCACATTCCAATAGTTCTCCCGCATGACTTCCCTGTACAGAGCTCTTTGTCCCGGATCCAGCAGGGCCCACTCTGCCACGGTGAAATACACGGCCACCTCCTCAAAGGAAAAGGGGCCCTGGAAGAAAAAGCAGATTCTCTCGTCAGAGATCATGCCAGGCAGAGATTGCATACTGGAAGGGAGTAGTCTAGAAAAGTACAGGATGTCAGGCTTTGAATGGGTAAAGGGAACGGCGATCAGAGGATCTCTCGCCCAGACACCTTGTAGAAACCGCAGGAGCAAAAGCCCCCCCCCCGAGAATGGAGGAGGGACCCAGGCTGTCCCCCCCCTGCTCATCTCTCCTACCTGGACTGGAGGGGCAGCAGCCGTTTCCACACCTCTGAGAAGACGACGGCTCAACGGCATCTCCCCACTGCCTATTCCTGAGACAAAGGAGGAAGGAAGGGAGTTTGCTTGCTTGTTCCCTGCTTCACACAGCCCCTTCCCAGGATTGTGAAACCTCGCCCTGTGTTCACTCCACAAACAAACACTTTTTACTAAATTCTGGGAGAGGCAGAAGAGAAGCACCAGGTTCCTATGAGCTTCAGGGAGTATAAACGCTGCCAACATATTTCAGAGTTCTGTGAGACCTGAGTCTGGCCTGGGGGAAGGGAGGGAGGGGGGCGGAAATGACGTCACAGGACACGTCACCATCACCTTCGGCCCAGTTGTGACTTGGGCATGTTTGGAGACTCGAGGGTCCTATGAATGCGTTTTCAGAGTGTCTCCTGGCGTCACAACCCAGTTTGCAGGCGGACGCAGAAGCACCAACAAGACACCATAACTGTCCCAAGCTTCACCCCAAAGCCCCACCCCAATGCTCCTGGGGGGTGCCAGTCCACAGCTTTCACTCCCTACTCCAGCACCCTGTCCCCCCCCGCCAGCCTGCCAGGTGCCCTTTCAAGGATGGGCACAGAAGCCAAATCTCCCCATGAATATTGCCCCCTCTAGGAACTGGCTCTCAGAGCTCTGCTGCCCCAGAATTCGGCTGAATAGCTCTGCCAAGGTTTGCCTACCTGGCATTTCTGGCCACCGTGTGACACAGAGTGTTGGACTGGATGAGCTGTTGGCCTGATCTGTAGGGCAGTGCAGGAATCTCCTGCCTGGAGACTGGGAACCAAGAAGTGTTTGTGTGCTAAGAGAAGTCTGGTGACTGCCTAAACTACGCAGTCAGTTAGCCTTGAGAGAAAGGGGGAGAGGCAGATAGCGGACAGCTGCCTGGAAACACACACACACACACTCCAAAAGAATGCTCTAATGCTTGTAACTCCCTTATGGAGGGAGAGGGAGGGGGAAGGGGGAAGAAAGGTGTATAAATAAATGCTGAGAAGCCGAGAGGTTTCAGATCAGCTTCCTGCAGCCGCTTGTATCCTGTCGTCTTTGCATCGTGAACCCTGCACCCCACACCCCAAGGAGCAGCACCACACAGATCCAACATTGGCTTCTCTTATGTTCTTACCTTTTCTCTTTTGAGGCACCTCAAGTTCCTCTTATGGAAAGAAGGTGGGATATGAATATTTCAGTTGATGGGAGGAATGGCCCTCCAGAAATTCCTCTAATCTCCTCTTAGAGGCATGAAAGCTAAAGGACATTGAGTGCTGAAAATTAACTCTGTGTTTTGTCAAGAAGTATTTAATTCCTCCCCCCCCCAACCTGAACTCTCTACCCATCAGTCACTGGGTGCCCCAATCGTACCCCAGGCACAAAGAGCCCTTACCACAGGAGAGGGCATCTTGGGCACGCTCCACGGCCTGCGCCCCCTGCCCTTGTTCCATGGAAACTCCTTCTGCCTCGGGGACTGTGGCTTCTTTCTCCACGGATGGTGCCCACATCTGAAACATCAGCGAGGGAGAGGGGTAAGAGGTGGAATGGGAAAGAGACCAAGGAATGGATCCTACCCCACGCCCAGACTCTGCACCCTTCCATCAGGAGTCCGGGCGAGTTATCTGGAGGGATCAGAAATTCTCCAGCAGAAGAAGCTGCTTAAAGTGGCCGTGCAATCTCCCACTTGGATGATTAACACCTGGACAAATATCTCCCAGGGACACTTTAGGAAAAAGGCACATGTAATTATATGAACTCAACATATTAGAGGAAATCCCCCTCACCTGTCCTGCCTGCCTCTTCTCCTCGGCCTGACTCAGGAGGAAGCCTTCGGCCAGGGCCACCGCCTGGGAACTGGCCTCGGGCCCGCCTCCTCTGACCCAGCCCTGCATTTCCTGGGGCAGGAGAGTCAGGAACTGCTCCAGGATCACCACGTCCAGGATCTGCTTCTTGGTGTGCCTCTCCGGCTCCAGCCAGTGGCTGCAAAGTCCATGGAGCTGGCTGCAAACCTCTCGGGGCCCAGCGGCCTCCTGGTAGCGGAACTGCTGGAAGCGTCGGCAATGTACGTCTGAGACTGCAGTGAGCTGATCACGGGAATCTGGCCCCGGGCTTCCCCAGAATTCAACACCACTCCCAGCTGGGATGGGATGGGGGCCTTTCCTCACTGTCCTGCTAGTTCCAGGTCCTTCTGGGTTCTGCTCTT